AGGAGGAGGAAGGAGTCATCATCGACCACAGAAAGAAAAGAGGAAAAGGCCACGAGGCTTTTGACTACAGGAATTCTTCCTCCAGTGTTTGAGGGCAGAGAGGAGGAGGTGAAGTCTGCCATAAAAAGAGTCAGAGGAGAGGAAGAAGAGGAGGAGGAGGAGGAGGAGGACACAGTAGAGAGCTTTAGTCCTCCGACACAAAGAGCATAAAGTGGGTTAACAAATTGAGAACAATGTGGAGGAATTTACAATGAGCTGAATGGGAGCGTGCTGCAGAGGAACAGGCGCTCATTAACCGGACTGTTGTCTCTGTGAGAGGAGGTCAAACTGTAAAGACCTGATCCCAACAGAGAAGAAGAAACAAACTGTAAAGACCTGATCCCAACAGAGAAGAAGAAACAAACTGTAAAGACCTGATTTCAGCAGAGAAGAAGAATCAAACTGTAAAGACCTGATCCCAACAGAGAAGAAGAAACTCAAACTGTAAAGACCTGATCCCAACAGAGAAGAAGAAACTCAAACTGTAAAGACCTGATCCCAACAGAGAAGAAGAAATGGCCCAGAGGCCTGACAGACCCTGACCCAGCAGTGGGGGGAGGGGCTTAGATCTTCCTCCTGCAGGATAATGACTTGTTGATAAAATAGAAGCTTAACTTGAGTCTAATTGGTTCAGTCTGTTTGACAGACAGTCACCGCAGGGGGAGGGAGGGGCCAGGTGACAGGTAAACAGGTAAATAAATGACAGTTGTTGAGATAAGAACAGAACATATGTCCAATAACAACTCATTACCTCACAACTCACCTGGGTCAGGTACGATCAGCTGACTGACCAAGATGTTTATGATTTAAATCACTGAGTTAATGAGGTCATCAGATCCTGAACCTCAGGTCCTTAGCAGGTGTAATGTTCTCCATGCTCATCTCAGTTTAGCATGTTAGCATGCTTCATCATCATCCTCATCAGAGTTCATCCTCAGAGGAACATGAACGTCTGCAGCTGCTGGATGGTCGTGATGAAATGTGACCCAGAGGTCAGAGGTCACCGTCCAAAGGTGACTCTGTGACCGCGAGGCGGCCGCTCACGCTGACCCGGGACCGGTGCTGATGGGTAAGTGTGTCTGCTGTCGCCTCAGGGCGGCAACGAGCCGATCTGAGGCTCTGATCCAGGATCAGATCCAAACCTGCAGCGTTTAAAGAGAACAGTCTCAGATCGATGATGGTGGAAACATCTGAGGCTCCTGTTCAGGTTCTAATTAAACCAGTTAATTACAGAGTTAATGAGCTGCTACCTGATCAAAGTGTCATTAACAACATGCAGCTTCAGTTTGTTGTATATTTCCTAATCAAACATCATTAATAAGTTTCATGTGAGAGTTCAGCTCTGACGTGTCTGATCAGCTCAGACTCAGTTATTCAACGTTAGAATGAGAAGATGTTTCAGGGGGAAATAAAGGGACGTTTGTTTTATCCATCAGATCAGAGACGAGGCAGGAAAACATGGTGATTCAGCAGAAGAGCAAAGGAACGATTCTCTCTTCCTCCATCTGTTGTCCATTAACTGCAGTTTGAATCAGACTGTTACAATGACGACCTGCTGGGGGGGGGGGGGGGGGTCAGCTCTCTACAGCCCAGCTGAGCCCCCGAGCTCTGAGTGTGTCACTGTATTCATCCTGGTCTATAATCAATATATTTCTCTCTCCTCCCTGTTTTAACACACACACACACACACACACACACACACACACACACACACACACACACACACACACATACACACGAACACACACACACTCTCTCTCTCTATCTCTCTCTCTCTCTCTCTCTCTCACACACACACACACACACACACACACACACTCACACACACACACACACACACATACACACGAACACACACACACTCTCTCTCTCTATCTCTCTCTCTCTCTCTCACTCACACACACACACTCTCTCTCTCTCTCTCTCTCTCTCTCACACACACACACACACACACACACACACACACACACACACACACACACACACACTCTCACTCTCTCTCTCTCTCTCTCTCTCTCTCACGAACACACACACACACTGCAGGGAGTGCTGGGGGCCGGCGGCCTGCTGTCTCCTCCATCTTGTCCTGATCAATAGTTAATGAGGTGATAAAACAGTGAGGGCTCAGTCTCTGCAGAAACCTCCTCCAGCAGGTCCAGGTCCTCCAGGTCCAGGTCCAAGTCCTCCAGGTCCAGGTCCTCCAGGTCCAGGTCCAGGTCCTCCAGGTCCAGGTCCAGGTCCAGCAGGTCCAGCAGGTCCAGGTCCTCCAGGTCCAGGTCCAGGTCCTCCAGGTCCAGGTCCAGCAGGTCCAGGTCCTCCAGGTCCAGGTCCACGTCCAGGTCCAGGTCCAGGTCCAGGTCCAGGTCCAGGTCCAGGTCCAGCAGGTCCAGATTTGTGTTTCATTCAGTTTTTTTCTGAAAAAGTGAAGAAAGAATAAAGATAAAGATTCACATCAAAACTCAATTTCCCATCACCCCTTGCTCTCACATGTATAGGCCTAGTATCACATGTTCCTTATACCTGTTGTTGTGTGTGTCACACTGTGGATTCACTGCTCACTGTGTCCAGTCCTGACTTGGTGTCGACCCGTCTGGGTCCTGGTCTGGACTCAGACTTGACTGGACCTTCAGATCTCCATAGCATCCGCAGCTGAGGCTCATGGGTATTGTAGTATTTAGAGTCATCCACCAAACTGTATGAAAAATAATGATTTGACAGTGACTGATGATCAGAACATGATGTCGTCCATTAGTGGGGGGGTCAGAGTGTGTGTGTGTGTGTGTGTGTGTGTGTGTGTGTGTGTGTGTGTGTGTGTGTGTGTGTGTGTGTGAACCAGTTGTCAGACTTGGCTTCATCCTCTCAGCGGCCACAATAGAAATCTAATTAAAACTTACTGGACCTCATTATGAGTCTGCAGGTGCACGCGGGCCGGCGGCGGTTAATCCCGCTCAATTAGTGCACGGCCCCGCGCACATCAACAATACACCCGAGTCAGCATCGGGAGCGCGCAATCCACGCGTCCCCCCAGAGAGATAATGAAGTATCAGCGCGTGTTTCTGTTTTTAAACGGTTTCAGATCAGATGAAGGGTGCAGAACCAGAACCCCCCCCCCCCCCCCCCCCCAACACTCCCCATATGTAAAGCAACAGGCAACAATAATGATGATACATATATTTTAAACATTGATTTGTTAATAATTAATATTAATATTATGTCTGTCAGTTTGTGTTGGGTTGTGTCAAATTGAATCCTATAAATAATTCTCTTATGTTTCTTCTTTGGTGCCTTAGTTATTATTTCTAATGTGAGGAACCAGTCAATCTAAACGGAGCTGAACCCCGCCAAAAAGTTTTTCTTTTCTTTTTGAATTTTACAGATGAAAAGAAAGTTTACAAAAATGAAATAAAAAAAGAAAGGAAAAGTAAAGAAGCCTAAATAAAAAATAACGTTTAAATTTAAAAATAAAGTAAAAAAAAAAAAGAAAAGAAAAGAAAAAAAGAAAAAAAAAAAGAAAAGCTGAAAAATAAAGTAAAAAAAACAGCCTAAAAAAATAGGAACTAACGTAAAAACAAGCTTTAAAAAAAAAGGGAAGAAAAGAAAAGTAAACAATACAGTGAAAAATAAATAGAATAGATAAAAAACAACTGTCAGGTCCAGTTCCATAAAGAGACAGATTAATGCTGCATGAGGATCATCATCATCATCATCGTCATCATCTCTTTTCTTTTTTCTTTTCAGTTCCTTTCTTTAGTGGGACTTGGCAGGAGTCTGTCCCCCCGGGTGTCCCCTGATTATCTGTCCATCCTCAACACGTGCAGAGACAAGACCGCTGCTGCTGGACCGGGGGGGGGGGGGGGGGGTTAAACTACAGAAACACCCCCTGTAATAATGTCCTTTAATACTTTTATAACGACACAGGGAGAAAGTTCAAGCATCAGTTTCTGTTTCAGCCTCCGGTTCACAAGCTTCAGAACAAATCCGCCATTTGAATTTAAAACTTAACTGAACTTGTTGTTAAAGTTTGTTTTAAAATGAAGTTTCTGTTTTTAACTTATTTAATTAAAATCTTCTCTAATGAATTTTGCCTTTTCTGTCTCTCAGTATTAAGGACAAACAGTGTGTTGTTGTTGTTGTTGTTGTTGTTGTTGTTTCTTTGTCACAGTCTCCTCATTATCATCACACTCAAACCGCTCACTCACAATAGACGATCTTTGTTTCCACCTGCTGCTCTGAACGAGCCGTTATCTTATTAATATTAATTATCATAAAAACCTGTTAATGCATCTGAGCCCATTGTCTGCAGACACACACACACACACACACACACACACACACACTGAGGTGATGAAGACAAACACAGATTTGTTTTTATAGAAACGTTATAACTTTTATTTTGTAGAAAACTGGCGGCAAAGCTCCGAGTAAATAGAATAAAAATCTCTTTATGTACAAAATACAAATTTCATGAGCAAATGAAACGAATAAATAAAAAGGACAATAATCTAACAGAGGGCGAGCGTGTGTGTGTGTGTGTGTGTGTGTTGGGGGGGGGTGAATACATAATGAATGAGGCAGCTCCATTCACTCATTGTCAGAGCGTTGAAACTCGATTTTCACGCTCTTTTCTGCTTCATCACTCTACAAATTGTAAAATTGACTTTTCACCTCTGAGAGTAAAAACCTGACTGTAACCTGCGGACTGCTGCTGAGGGAGGGCGGGAAAAAGTGCAAAGGTTTTTGGAGAAATACACAAAATCAAAAGGAACTAAATAATAAAATGGAAATTAATTAAGTTATTCTCATTTACAATCCGTCAGCAGAGGCACGAGACAGGAGGAAGATAAATGAGCTCATAAGGCAAACTGTGATTCTCAGTCTTATTCCAGCGGACTGTCCTCTGTCCTCTGTCCTATGTCCCGTTGTGTCTCTACATTTCTGTGGTCTGTGAGTCCCCCCCCCCCTCAGTAGATGCCCTGCACGAAGCTGCGGAAGCCGTACAGCGCGTCCTGCGTCAGGTAGCTGCAGTCCTCCGACGCGCCGGGGCTGCCCGGGCTGGAGGAGCTGTATGCCGGGGAGGAGGAGGACGAGGAGCCGCTGGAGCTCCAGGAGCAGGCGTCGCTGCCGGGGCTCGGGGCTTCGCCGAGGCGCGCGGCGCTCAGCAGCAGCGGAGCGTCGCCGGTCTTTCCCGTCTGCAGGTCGGCGATGCGGATGGTCTCTGACAGCGCCCAGATGTAGTTGTGCGCAAAGCGCAGAGTCTCGATTTTGGTGAGTTTGGTCTCGTCCGGGAAGGCGGGAAGCACGCCGCGCAGCTCGTCCAGCGCGTCGTTCAGGTTGTGCATGCGGTTCCTCTCCCGGTCGTTGGCCTTCAGGCGCCGGTTCTTCTTCACCACCTGCACGGTGGCTTCGCTGCGGCCGCGGCCGCGGCGCCGCTTCTTCTGCTGCAGCTGCTGCGGCTCGGGCTCCGGGGAGGTGGAGCGGAGGCTGCCGCGGGAGTCCTCATCGTCGGTGTGCGGGAAGAAGTCGCAGCTGTTGCTGTCGATGTCGGAGTAGACGGAGTCCATACCGGAGCGGGAGGCGGTTTATCTGAGGAGAGAGCAGAGCGGCGGGTCAGGACCTGCGGCTCCCGGAGCGCGTGCAGTGAGATGTGGAGGATCGTGCAGGTGAGTGCAGACACGCGCGCTGAACTTACCTGGAGTCAGCTGAAGTTTCTGCGCACGGATCCAACAGGACCGGGTGATGTGGTGCACGGGGATCGACACGCGCCTCTTTGCGTCTTTTTGCTCTGGATCAGCTCGTGCGAGCCGGTGAGCCTGGCACACGACCGGCCTCAGCCCGCTTATATACTGTGGCCGGACAATGACCGGCCCCCTGCTCCTGTACCCCCCCTGTGACCCCCCCTCCCTGGCATCACAGCGCAGGATGAGGAGGATGAATGCTGCGGCAGGTCTGCCCCGTGCCGCGGGAGCTGCTCATTAACATAATGACGCCTGCGGTGTTTGCTCGCCCCGCACGGGGAAGCGTGCCGGTAATCACGGCCAGCCAATCAGAGCCGGCGGCCGGCCACGCGAGCGACACGCACGAACCCGCACACCCCCCTTCTCCCCTCCCTCCCAGAGAGACAGAAAAGACCAAACCCACTTTCAGAGTTAAAACCAAAAACATAAAAAAGAGAGAGAACGAAGAAAGAGGAGTCAGTAGGAGTCCCCGCCCCCCCGCCGGGCGGAGACACGCTCCGGAGAATTCACCCATCCTTCCACCCATCCCTCCATCCATTCATCCACACACACATCCATCCATCCTCCGTTAACACCACAAACAGAGAAAGAGAAGCAGCGGGAGAAGAACTCACATCCTTCACTTCAGTCACAGCAACAAAGAGTTTATCAACAGTCAGACAAACCTCGTATCTCCACAGGTTCACCTGCATCTCAAAAACCTTTATTCTGAAAGTCCGAGTAGGTTCCTCTTACAGTGTGAGGAGGAGGAGGGTCAGAGGTTTGTTTTCTAACATGAAGAAGAAAATGTGTTTTTCATTTCTCACAGTCTGAAAGCAGAGTGGAGGAATGTTTATATTTTAACCTGTTTTTACTAAGAATTCTTGTCTGGAGCCAATGAAGCGAAAATATTTATATTTATACATATATAAGTAAATAAAGATTTGTATATTTAATGCCTTCACAATAAAATCAAAAATCATTAAAAAACATCAAACAGTTACAGAGAAAAGAAATCAGTCTTGAAAGTGAGAAAATATTGAGATAAAATAATAACTTGAGTTGAACGATGTAAAAAAATAAAAATATATTTTTTTATCAACAGGTCGAAACATGTTTATTTATGCATATATTTGCATATGTATATATGTGTAGGTACATGTACATATGTGTGTATACAGTATATGTGTATATTTATTACTATTTTTCCTTTTCTTTATTTCATTACCAATGTATTCTGTTAATTCTATTGTATTTTATTATATTAATATTGTTTGTTATTGACTTTTTTCTTTGATAATTTCATTCCATTGAATTGAGTCCGATGGTTTGTAACAAACATTTTATTTTGAATTAAGTGTTGAATAATTTATGTGATGATAAAAATTATTTCATAATTAAAAAGATGACCTCAAAAGTCCAGTATCTGTCAGGCTCTTAGTGTACAGTTTGATTTCAGAGGTCAAAGGTCACACAGAGCTCAGTTTTATAATCACATCGTCTGCATAGAAGAGAAATTGTGGAAAAGACTAAAGAAAACGGGGCTGATGAAAACATGAGGACATGTCTTCAGTGATGTGTCTGGACACTTCAGAACAACATGAAGAGAAATTCACATTCTACATTTCTACATTCACACATATTGAACATTTTGAACAAATTTAACGATTTTTAAGCAAAAAAACAAACAAAAAAACCTTTAAATAATCTATTTATCTTTAATCTTTTCCAGAGTTACACTCTGACTCAGGACAACACCATGAAATAAGGAGCTGATATTTACAGCAAAAGTAACTGAACTGTCCAACAAATAAATAAAATGTTTGTTTTTTTTAATACTTTGATTGAGTGGTAATCTGAAGTTTCTGAAGTGCACTGGGTTCTGTTGTTTTACATGTATGACCTCAGTGTTTCTGAAATCCTCGACGGTAACCTGTAAAAAATGAAACAGGTTCCACAGCAGATCCCTGAGGTTCTCCACACTGTGTCACTAACAACATGTTTCTTTATGGTAAAGAATACGTGAACCAGTTTAACCCTTGATGTCGCTGTGATGACACAGAGCAGAACTGTGGTTTAAATGTTAGAACCTGTCGACTCTCCACTTTCTCTCACGTTCTTACAGATCGTTCGTGACTCCGCCTCTAAAATCTGGTTAAAGTAGAGACAAGACGACGCTACGACTCAGTGACATCACAACGTTTCATTTTAGGCATTTCTCATCCATTTATCTACTAATTTACTCACGTGTTGCTGTAGTTTCATGAAGCTGTAGACTTTGGTGAACACATTAGAAACAGCAGAACAATTCATCCACTTCAGTAAAGGTTTGTTTTCACAAAGTATTTGAAGAATTTCAAAAGCCAGGCTACAAGTTTTCAGCATTTGGGCCGAATGATGTCTTTGCTCTACGACAAAAAGGCGCCTCGTACAGAAAGAGCTGAGATTGTTCTGAGGATTGTGATATAAACACTTGGGTATTATGTGATATGTAGGAACCCTTTAAAGGTGAATTTAAGAAATAATGTAGAAATGGATAAAAACCCCTCAGACCTCAGGGTTAAGACCAGATTCAGGATGTAAACCACCGTCTGAACCAACATCAACAATCCAAAGCCCATTAAAAGTGACCCTGGTCTGTGGAGTCTGCAGACGGAGCGATGCGCCTCATTTTTATCCGACGTGAACAATTTCAGCTTCAACAGTTTCACTTTATGAAGTCTGGCTTTTTGTTTGTCTTTTCATCTCCTCGGCAGCAGTAAACCCGTCCAGCGTGAGCGCACACAGGCCAATTTTCTTTAAGTGTTTTTTAAAGACATCTTTATGAGACAGCCATACAATTTTCCATTAATTATTCCATTTATTCAGTTTGCAGCTCAGCGGAGAAGAAGCAGAGACCTGCAGAGTCTTTCTGCTGCAGGAGAGGGGGGGACAGTCATTTATAAATAATTACACAATGTTTAGAGTCTTCAGGCATGTATAATATATCAAAGCGATTATAAGGTGAATTGTTCCATTGTGCCCGTCCGCCCTGCACTTCTTTTCACTCCTCTCCTGATTTGTCCCTCGTCCAAATTCAGCTCCTCTGGCCTTTTGTGCAGCTTTCTTTCTGCCTCAGCCACTCTATTGGCATCATTCTTATTCAAATGGGCCTCAGCAGGAACAAAACCAAACCCAGGCTGCACACAAATCATCTCTGCCCCGGCTGCAGGGCCGGCACAAGCCTCTGTGAGGCCCCAACAACAAGTCTGCAAATCCTAAATCCTATTTCAGCCAAAGAGGATAAAGCACACTTAAAAAAACCCTCAGATACAAACACAAGTTCTGTTTTCTACATTTCTACTGAGGTTAGAGTGAAACTGACGACTGAGGGTGGACGCTCAGGAGAAACCAGACTGGTCCACAATAATATCACTGATCAATAAGGCCACAATAGAAAATACTGATAAAGTGTCAATGTATCTATAAATTTATAAAAACGAATAAAGAGAAGATGGAAATAGACAAGAAGGGAGGAATAAAGGAAGGAAAGAAGAAAAGGAAAAGTGAAAAAGTTCTGAGGATTTATAAGAGAGAGAAAGAAAGAAAGAAAGAAAGAAAGAAAGAAAGAAAGAAAGAAAGAAAGAAAGAAAGAAAGAAAGAAAGAAAGAGGTGGAGGAGAAGAAAAGTAAAAAAGACAGAAAGAAGATTAATTGACAAAACAGGAAGAAAGAAAGGAAATCAAAGTCCTCTCAAAGATGTTTTGTGTTTTCAGATTAAAGAAAGAAAGAAAGAAAGAAAAGAAGAAAGTTGTGTCCAGGTTGAATGAATCTCATCAGCTTTAAAATATATAAAAATAAATATAATTAATTAGATTGAATCTAAAAATATTTCTCATCAGCTTCGAAAAGAAAAAGCAGAAATGTTGATTTCTACCTGAAAACAAACGTTCTAGTTCCTTCAGAGTGTGTCGTTGTGTCGTTGTCTTGTTGTTGTTGTCTTGTTGTGTTCATGTTGTTGTTGTGTTGTCATGTTGTTGTTGTTGTTGTTGTTGTCGTGTTGCGTCTGTAGTGTCATCAAACGCACAAAGAGGTTGTTTTCTCAGTTTGTCTGAAAATGTTTTCCACACGTGTCCAAGTAGAAACATTTGATCACAGGTCACATGAGCGCACGTTTCCACCTGCTGTAACATACAGACAAACACACACACACACAACAGACCTCGTACATGGCTCTCACATGTGGTTTTGCACATGTTGACAGACATGAAAAGACTGAAAGCAGAAGAGGAGCTGTAAGAACTTGTCTCACAACTTTCAACCACATCTCATGGTCTTCTTCAGTGGATCAAATGAACACTGAGTTGAGAGTTGAGAAGCTGCTCAGAATCACACTGCTGCAGACTGTGTGTGTGTGTGTGTGTGTCCTGTGTGTGTGTGGTGTGTGTTGTTGTGTGTGCGTGTGTGCGTTTGTGTGGTGTGTGTTGTGTTGTGCTGTGTGGTGTGTGTGTGTGTTGTGTGTGTGTGTGTGTGGGTGTGTGTGTGTGTGTGTGTGTGTTGCGTGGTGTGCGTGTGTGTGGTGTGTGTGTGTGTGTGTGTGTGTGTGGGGGGAGAAGCAGTTTAAACCCTGACAGAAACAGAAGAAGAAGAAGAAGGTGGAGGCAGGTTTTTCTTTTACAGCCTCCATCACTTCAAAGTGATCTCACAGCTTGTCAGGCTGCAGTTAAAGACGATGGAAACAGTTCACAGCTGTGATTTTATTGGCTGAGAACTGACGGACACGTGGGTGGCACGGTTTAGATTTACATTACATGGACAGAAGTATGCGGACAAGCCGTCTGGGTCTGTCTTTCCTGGTTTGGTGACATG